GCATCTGAATGTGCTGAGCAGAGTTGTGAGAGCATGACTTGTGGAGCATCAGAGCATGAAATGTAGAGCTTCTGAGCGTGATGAGCAAGCTTCTGAGCGTGGTGAGCAAGCTTGGTTGAGCATGAGTGGTGGAGCATCAGAGCATGACTTGCAGAGCATCTGAGCGTGACGAGCACAGTTGTAGGAACATTTCAAGTACCTCATAGCATATTTCATATAAACCTTCATTCGCGACCCTTCTACCTCATCACTTTCGGGCTCCTCTACTACCTCTTGCTTGAGCATCTCTACCTTCGGAGCATCTCCATCTACCAGTTTATGTGGAAGCACTAAAACAAAAAGTGTGTGTGTGTGTGTGTGTGTGTGTGTGTGTGTGTGTGTGTGTGTGTGTGTGTGTGTGTGTGTGTGTGTGTGTGTGTGTGTGTGTGTGTGTGCGTGTGTGTGTGTGTGTGGCACACCGCTGTACATGCGGGCTAGGAGCACGGCCATGGGTCTCCTGCTAACAAAGACGCCCATGGTTCGTGGTGAAGCAGTTGGAGACGTCCAACTGTGTACCTGCGTGATCGTCTTAGACATCCTGTAACGCAAGCTGTGCATTGGTTCCGTCCTCGCTGTTGTTCTTCTACCTCAACCGCAACGCAGTTTACAACGTGGATTTCGTATTTTGCTCGGCATGTGGGTGAATTCTTCGAGCCGTGAGCATGACATACCCCAAACCCCAGAAGATCTCGAGCCCATCAAGCTTGAGTGGATCGTGATGCTGTTAGCTTGCGTGTTGTGAATAGCAAAGCAGCTGAGCAGAATTGCGTGAGCATGTTGTGTGAGCATGTTGATGGAGCATACATGGACATGAACGATGACGACGGGAAGGTTCGGAACACATCATGAGGGACGGAGCAGTGCAATGCATGACATGAATGCCAGCATGTGTGGAGCAGTTCAGTTTGCAGAAAAGCATCTGAGCGTGATGAGCAGAGTTATGTGAGCATGTCTAGCGAGCAGAGGGCATTTGCATGGTGGGAACGACTGATGTCATGTGCTGAGCATGTTTGAGTGTGGAGCATCTAAGCACGAATTGTGGAGCATCTGAGCGTGATGAGCAGAGTTGTGTGAGCATGAAGCGGGGAATATCAGAGCGTGAACTGTGGAGCATCTGAGCGTGATGAGCAGAGTCGTGTGAGCATGAAGTGTGGAGCATCCGAGCATGAACTGTGGAGCATCCGAGAGTGATAAGCACAGCTGTGGGAGCATGTCAAGCGAGTATGGAGCATGTTTTGATTGCAGCAGAGCATTTGAAGAGTGATGTGTACGTGCTTACGATAGGATATTTCATATAAAGTCTCATTCGTGACCCTTCTACTTCATCATCTTGGACGTTCGCCTCGGCAGCTTGCTTGAGCATGTCCTTCTCCAGCAGATCTCCAACTACATGAATATGTGGAACACTAAAACAAAAAGTGTGTTATACAGCCAGCCCGCCCTTGCCTTGGGCCGCGGGTGTAGGTGGAGCCTCGCTCCTACGCGTTCATGCTGCCTATGTTAGTCTTCACTTCGGTGCGGACGCATAGGATAATCCAAAAATGTGAGCTCACCTGGCGAGTGAGAATGAAAAGTCCTATCGTTTTCAATGCACTAGTAACATGCCGGGCCCATTAATGTGGGTGCCAACGATGCTCAGCAAGACGGCCGGCGTGCCGTATGTTCCTCGATTGTTAGTCGTGATCCAGCATCCGGAGAGATTAGCAACATTCTTTTTGCTACGTCTTTGCCGTAACGGTTTGATAGGTCAGAGTAGTGTGTAGCACGTACCCCAGCTACATCGGACTCGCACCATGGACGGCTACCAGTGGTACCAACAAAGTTGGCAGCGGCAGCCGCCTCCTCCTCCTCCTCCTCCTCCTCCTCCACTAGACAATCAAGCACATCCTCCTCCTCCTCCTGAGACGCCACACCCGACGGCACACTACCCAGGAGACGATCAAGGATGGCAAGTTCGATGGAGTCAACATCCACCAACTGGAGGAGTACATTCCCAACACCAGCGGCCACCCCACCAGGATGCAGCACCCTCGCGGCCACAATGGCCAACACCAGGCCAGCTTTCGGATCAAATACAGTTCGGTCCTCCGACATATCGTCGTCACGATGCAGCAGGATACTCGCCTTCGAGTCAAACGACAGGCCAACACTTGCCAATGACCAACCAGAACATCCATCTTCACCACCAACATGCCGGTCCTCAACCACATGGTCGCAACGATCACCCGGAAGTACGCCAAGCTCCACCACATCCACAACCCCTCGCCTACCCTCATGCTCCATATCATCGGCAGAACCCAGATCGACCTCCGTATCTTCAGCACGGTCAGCAACATCATCAAGGCCAAGATCTACGACGAGACCACCATCCTCGAGACCTTGCACACCATCATCAACAACAATGCACTCCGCAGGGTCGACCAGAATGGAATCAAGCCACACCTCTGCCAGCGCACCATCTTCAGCCACAAACGAATGTTCAACAAAGAGCAGACCATCCCATGTTCGCGCAAGCAGAGCTCAATCCTCCAGTCCGAGAGGGAACCTATCCTACCTCCCTAATAATTACCCCTGGCACCTATGCACCTCGAGATATAGCCCAACACGGCCAACTACGTCAACAAGATTGTCCAGCAAGACCCCACCCAGGTATATGCTCAACGAGATCCGCAACGAGACGCAGCATGGCAGGAGCCTTCGTCACAGTCCAGACCGTTTCCAACACATCAACGACTCGCACTCGCCCAGACGTCGGACACACACCAAGATGACCATCAACGAGGCCAACATATCCATCATGGAGAACATCAACAACCTCGTCAAGCCCCAGAACCACCCTCTCAATCTACGCCACCGACAACACAGTCCCAGATGACGGAGATGTTCACGTGCATCACAGGCATGCTTGAGAAAGTCGTGGCACCGCTACTTCAGAACCATGCCAGAGTCACCCCGACGCAATCCCAACATCCTGGTGACCAACACAGAGCAGAGTCCTTCGCCACACACCACACCAGAAGTCGCAGCAGAACCACCTATGAGCCCAGTCCAGCCTATCCCAGGAGCACCAGATCCACGCGGCACACACACATTCCCCAATCACCCCACCGCCCCGTACCCAGCGACCCCAACAAGACGGGCAAAACTAGCCGGCCATACAGTCGAAGCAGATCGAGATCTACACGTGGACATTCGGAAAAGGCCAGATTCCGAACATCGAGAAGGCGCTCTTCTCCAGATCGTCATCACCGTGCATCAGAACCAACACCATCCCAACACAGCCCCTCCCCAAGCAGCACCAGGCGCAGAAACACACCCGTCGTTCTTATCCCTGCACGGCGACCCACAGAGATACACCTGGTTCTTCATCCAGACCACCCCAGGCACCCTCAGAAGCGTCCAGGGCTACGTCACACAATGCAAGGCCAGACTTCAAGCCCGAAGAACGTCGACGCATGAAGCAGCTCTACCAAGACGCCGTGGCAGATCCCTACAGGCTCGCGTGTGTGTCCGAGATGTACCACCAACAGGACCCACCACCGCCCATGGACCCTTCAAGCCTAGGCAACCGATACATGAACGACATCATGCACGACATCGCCGACCTCACCCACGGACAACCACTATGGCTTTCCAACCCAGCACAGATGGCCATCCGCCAAGTGGCAAGATCCTTCGCATGCTCCCACTACAAGATCACACCCTTCCTCGGCAAATTCAGAACTCACCCCACCACGGACACGGTGATCCACCCTCAGCTCATCAACATCGACCCCTACAGCAACAAGCAGGACACGACTGATTATCCACTGGTGCAGGTCCTCGTCATACCACTACGCACCACCAAGCCACCACCTCACGCACACGATGCAAATAGTCCATCACCTCCCACACACAAGGGCGTCTACAAGACATACTGGTCACACGCCACCGACGAGGCAGGCCTATGGCACATCTTGCGCGAGGGCTTCGTCAGACCCACGAACTGGGAGCGCACCAACTGGGATGACGACAACCTCTCCTACAACAAAGCATACCTACCCCATCGTGGGTTCAACGGATTCCACCAGGACAACGCACCCGACAACCTTCAACTTGGATTTTGCAACACCAACCTCCGCAAAGCCCTCCGCATCCCAAAAGCCAAAGCAGGACCTGCCGAAGGAGAAATAGCCACAGGATTCACCATATTTGGACGCGTTACATCGTCCACCTCACAGCACAGCCACATGCGGCAGAAGGGAGGAGGATGGACGACTCAGAAGGCGCTCATCGAGGCACCCTCAACGACACCAGTCGAGACAGTCGTAACTTCACCACCGTCTTCTCCCACACCGAGAAGAGCGTCATCGATGCGCAGTACGCTGAGATCACCGGGATCACCATCAACATCTTCCACCCCAGACCCTCACCCGCTACACCACCTCCAGTCCCCAACAGATCCCGAGACAATGACCGCAGACGACGACGTTGACAACTACCCGCGCTGGCAGATCCTTCTTCCTCATCGTGAAGACCAAAGTGACGATTTCTTTTTCACCTTCACGAAGCCTCGCTCGTGCAGTACCAGCACGCTAATCACAGCATGTCAAAATGGAAGGCACCAAGCAGAGCAGGTCGTAGATCGGATGGAGTACACCCTAACCCCACCACACATGATTCTGCAGTTCCGGACTGTTTGAAATTTCTGCAACGAGCTTTCTGCATCTTGCCAAGTGTGTTCGTCATTCACGGATTGAAATCGGATGCGTGTAGTGCAGCGTTGCAGGTGAGTGAGTCTGCCTTCTCTTTTCAGCACACGAAATCACGCGTGAAGTGAGAATCCGTGCACTGCTGTGATGCTCTCGGCCTTGACCTTGAGAGACATGTTCTGGCCACCTTTAAACGTCGCCGGTGCTGATTACGTTTCGCCTGCAGTTTTGCTCTTGACTGTAACGCCTGATTAGACGTTCGCCTTCACCATGGATCCGGCAGAAGACATGGAACACGCCCTTCATCGATGGCTCAGCGGACAAGTCGCCGATCATCAGGTTGTACAAGTACTAGGACCCCAAATACTACAAAGATGGCAAGCACTCCTGGTGAGCATCGTGGAGGAAAGCGACACCCCCATCTTCACGGACACGTCGTCGATGCCAGCCAGACCATGGACGACCAACCTACACCCATCCAAGTACATGGAGATCCTAGGCACCAATGAAGAGGGCATCAGCAACACCGTCAATAAGTTTCGACAGCAAACCATGAAGGCCAAGATACTGCACCAATCCAGACTACGAACGGTGCAGTCCGACTACTCTGAGATAATCGGCCAAGGACGATTACAAGACGTGGAAATCAAACCCGGTCGAGTTCTTGCCTCCGCAGAAGCCCACGGTACCATGCCCCACACCCTTCCCCCTCCAACCTCTTCACAAGAACATGCCAGCCAATTTCAGAGATGGTATCCGAATCGACAAGTACCACCGCAGGACCACGCGACCGGCATGTCCATGGACTATGCGGGCACGGACCAACCTGTCAGAGACCTACAAACCTGGCGCACGGGAGCCTTCCCCCACATCCCCGTACCCCCGGATCGCACCGTACCTCCTCCCGAAGAACAACATCATAGAGAAGACAGATCCAGGTCGCCACTTCGAAACCCTGGTGTCCACACGATGGGCATGCACGTCAGCAGCCTGCAACAACTGCTCGACAGCTTAGAGCCAGCCGTGGACACGCAATCCGTCATGCAACATCACGACCAAGGCCGACTACTTCCAGTTCTACCAGTGGATCAGATAGAAACCACGCAGCCACAGTGGTGGAGACGACCGATCAGACCGGAACTTATTCACATGCTACCTCCGGTTGAACGACACCATTGGGAACTCCAGGAAGATGGCACACCCGTCATACGATTTTTCCCCAACCGCATGACCTTCCTCCCGAAACAGCTGGTGCACAAGTTCCCCTCCCTCCAACAAGAACTTCAAAACAGCATCCTCATGTCCTGGGACGAGTACAAAGCCGACGCATCCACACACGTCCAGATGACACGCTACGCCGACTCCATCGACATGCCCGAACCCAAACCCTTACACCTACGACTACGTTCCCTTCTACATGAAATTCTATCAGGACCCCTTGCAGTTCGCATCCTACAGTTCACAGCCATACAGTTCAGGATGCTCGTACGCAAGGGCAACTGCCCAGATTTGGCCACAATGCCCAACCTCTACCAGCTCTGGCACTGGGGATACATCAAGTTCCGAAGTGTAAACCCGGAGCTGTGGATGTTCACACACAACTTCGCGGATCCCAGGACCATGGGCAGGCTGGAACAGACCTGCACCTACTTCCACAGAATCTGGTCAGCACACGTCCTACCCAGCACGGCAGGATTGGTACCCCTACTGCCGCCCATACAGGACCTCTGCGTGGTGCTCCATAGCACGGCGCCACCCTTCCACCAGCCAATGCTCGCGAAGTACAATACCATCTCGGGCATTATGACCATGCAGGCGGTCAGCAACATAGTCTTTCGCAAGGCTCACCATGACTTACAGCTCCACAGAACGTGGCCCAGCATCGATTCCCACACAGGATGCGATCAAGGAATCAACACGTTTCAGATTCCGGACCACTGGCCAACCAACATATGGACCGACACGCTGCAGAAGCTCACCCATACGACCAGATGGACGCCACCCTCCACGCCGGACATCCGCGCCAGGCTCACCATCGACCACCTGTGCAACGACGTACTGCCAAACATGATATGGACACCGAGGTTCGCCCTGCCCCTTACCTCACAACAAATTCACGCAGTCCAAGTTTCCACCCAAGCAGCGCATGTACTACATCGACTATGGGACCCACTCATTTTCACCTTCGCTGACCCGTGCCACACGATCGACGGTTTGGACGCCAAGCAAACAAGCAGACCTGATCTGATCGGAAAATTTCACCGACTGAGTTCAGGAGGACAAACACCAATGTTAGCAATCCCGGCCAGCAGCGTGGTCGAGGCACAGTTGGACTGGGCCTGGTTCCAATCCACTACGGCATCCAACTCCCCATTCAGATGGCTGTCCCTACCCCTTGCAGTCACAGGACACCCCAGGACGCACTCGGTCTTTTGGATCCACCGAAAGACATCAGGCCAAGTACAACGTCACCGAGCTCTACATGTGCACCAAACCACGTGGTTAGTGGCATCAGGAACACCCACGCCGTTCCAGGAGGATCCACACATCACGCAGAATCAAGCACAGGCCACTCCAACCCAGGAGGAATGGACGGACTTCATCAACCAACGACAAGCTCTACTGGAACTTCAACGATGCACCACCGTTGACCAAGAAGCTGGACAACACCAATGGAGGTATGTGAAGTGATGAGGTCTCAGCAATGACAGTTTCACGATGGAACGAACTCAGCCCCATGCACCCGTTGAGAGAAGTTGCAACCCTATGCACCCCGCGTCCTGCATGCAATTTTCAGAACACGCCGCTTGTGCAAGGGTAGTGTTTCATGTGCTTGACACAGCCGTTGCGTGCCTCACGTAGGCTTCCTCATTAGCAGTCAGACATATAAGTATCCCTACACCCCTACGCCATGGCAGACAGACGTGATCGCCACGCTCAACGACATGCTCAATGGCATACACACTCGCACAGACGAGACAACGGCTCCAGACGATCCAGATCACCCAGAAGATTCAGCACACCAAGACCATCCAGGAGGCACCCCACCAGATCGACATCACCGAGATCCACGCGCACACTCCACTCCAACCCACGTCCTAGTTCGGGACCAGCTCTGACCCCCAGATCCACATCTACAGCATCCCATGCGTTTCCTCGCCACGGACAAGATTCGGTCTACAACCCACGAAGAGATCACCACCGTCAAGATCAAAGACTCCCGGTATACGGGAACTCTCCCATCCGATCTACTCAATCTTCGGCCCCTACCCCAGCCCGCCCTAACCCCAAAGAACGCGCCAGGGAAGTGCTCCAGGACATCTTCCACCAGCCCAACAACGACCTTCCAGACCATTGGGACTCCAACGAGATGCTCTATGACAAAAACCAGTATGGAGGAGTCCAGATGCCCAGAATCGTACCCACCACGTCATCGGCCAAGAAAAACGGCACAGCAGGTATGGATCCGCTCGACATCAAAGTCTGGCAAGTGGCCTTCGAGGGCAAGCACAATTATATGCTGCGACAACTCGCCAACGGAAGATGGACTCAGTTCCAAGGCCACAAGTCACTACCTGATGCAGTGTTTCACATGAAACTCTCCACCTTCATCCGCAACCGCAACATTCGCATCGAGACCATCGCAGTCAATTACTGGAAATGGAAGAACGGCGCGGAAATGCTACCCACCGAAGTTCAACGGAAGGAAGCCATGGAGATGCTCGTCGCCAACATTGGAGACCTCATCATGCGCTACAACAACCCTCCTGCTGTACAACCCCAAGTACGTGCCCAACTAGCACAGAAAGAAGCGGAGATAGCAGGATTGCGCGCGCAGCTCGCAAGTCAGAACCGCAAGACACCCTTCCCGCAGGGCATCATCCCACCTACCCAAACCCAGATGCCCAACTTTTTCGAGACCGGCACCAACAAGGCTCCACCATCATCCGGCAACCCTCTTCATCCACACCGAGATCCGTGCGCTCCAGCGAATGCCCACAACCTCGTGCAGGTAGTCGACGCAGACGACTCCCAAGCATCGCAACCAATGGCATCCGAATCGGCCGAACACGCACCTCAACCCCCTCCCCCACTGCACCCCCACCCGCCTACCGTGGAGGACGAGATGGACCCTAACTTCACCGGAGGTATCACCACACCCTCCTACCACCCCAGCCCAAGATCCCCGGTCCCAGGTGAACCAGCATCCAGCCGCCCGTTCGAATCACCAGACGGCAGACAAACCAAAGTCCTCCTCGAGCCAGGTGAGCAGGCCAAAATGGATAAGATTCGACAAGTACATGAACTCACCAGCTCACTATCAAGATACGCGGCCCCTTCGGCAAACACCTGGATTTCCACTCTCAAGATGTCTGGACCCAAACTACAGGCCCAGAAGGAGATCGCCAAGAGACTCACGGTGTATGTCGAGGCACATCCAAAAGACCAGGCGTACCAGGACATGGTGAAGGCTTGGTCTCTCCCCAAGCTCACCAACACAGCAGGGACGGCAGCAGTCGCCATCGTGGTGGCAGGCCTCGCTTCATACCTACATTGACTAGGAACCCTACTCGCAACGCAGCAGCCATCGGGACGGCTCAACCGCATGCACTCTTCCATGGTGAAGTGTATGGACATCGTGAAGAGCGTGGTCCAATACACATTTCACCGCATACCTTTCCTACACAGATACTCCACTTGGCTCTACGGCAAGTTTTGGCTCACCGCTCTTTGCCATTTTCCTCGACGCCAAGTAGATCAACGCAGATTGGTACGCCTCAAGCAGTTTCACCGTATCACCCCGGAGCTCTACACATTCGAATTTTTCAATCAGCCGAACGCAGTGTACTGGAGAGTCGATCACGCACGCATGTTTGAGCACCTCTACATTGGCAGCACCTCTACGAAAGTCACAATCAGAGAAGACAACCGGCGCAGAAAACACAACGCGCTTGCGGCTCAAAAACTGGTCAACGCAGAACCAGCCATACACTACTGGCGCACCACGGACACATACTGGGAGTTTGTTCCGATCAAAGTCCGCAGCGTCGACAACGTGGCAGAGTTGCACATGATCGAACAGGCAGACATCGCGGACCTCCAACCCTCCCTCAACGCCCCCTTCATCTATAAACACTTCAAAGAAGACACAGGCCACACCTTCCAACCCAAGATCATCAGCGACGTCAACGTGCTGGCAACCAAACTACGTGCTCGACTACATCGACACCTCAGAAGAAAAACCAGACATTGGCGATCCGTCAAGGTGCAGATAGACAACAAAACACGCATGTGGGGCCTCCTCACTGCCCTGTGCTCCACCACGGCTCTACGATGGAAAACCACCAGAACGTTGATGAGCGGCAACTTCCCGGCCGAGAACATATACATGCTATTACGAATGACCAACATCCTTGAATCCCCATACAAGGAGTTCTGCAAAGCAGCATTGGTGAAAGCACTCGAGAAGAGACATATGGAGACCCCCAACATACGACCCCTCGTCGCCAGTTTGCTACCACCTATGGAAGAATGCCAGCGCCATCTTCGAGACGTCCTCCGCGCCATCATCGCGAGCCACTACCACGAACTATGCGCACTACATGTCCCGAAGACCACGGTGGTGGCCAAACCAGGATCCAGCATCGAGGCCCAGTGCCACAACTGGCAGCGAATGTGTTTTGGCCCCAAACTCACGAGAAGATGCACTTGCCGCAACCCCACACAGGAACTCAGCGAACACCAAGTCATCGACCTTCAGACCGCACACGCATCACCAGACGACCCTCTACACCACATCGTCACCTACTCGTCCAAGACGGGCACCTTCCCGGAACCAGACACTTGGATTTCACAGACGACGGAAGACGTTCTCAAATGGTGCAGACGCAATCGACTCTCCATACCATCGAGGGAGGCTGTGCAGCTCGCTCTTGCCCCGGCGGCAAAGCTCAGCCACAACGTGAAGGAGGAACACGTGGACCACCACATGGTCAAGCGCCTCAAAACCCAGTACAGCGACCACATCATTGCGTGCGAGGACCACCGCCCCCACAAGATGCTAGCATACTGCCCCCTCCATTTCCAGCAGCTCATGGACAAGATGTACGGAGACCCTGAAGTCTTCACCAAGATCAACATCACCCCAACCACAGCGGCGCACAATGCGTGGCACCAACTACCCCAAAGCATCAAGACAAGATACCCCTGGGGCATCAGAACAGATCGCAAAACCAAAGTTCCGGTGTCCTACATCTTTCCCAAGCGCAAGAAGGGCTTCATCAAGTCACGGCCCATCGTCTCGTTCGCCCAGCACTTCGCCAAGAAGCTCTTTTCCACGGTCGCCAAGATCATCACCAACATCATGTACATCTCTTTCCCCCAAGCACTGCAACAGGACAACTCTTACAAGATCTTCAAGGAGCTTCACACGTTCATGAACTATAACAACGCCGACATGCACATGCAGATCGCAGACCTCGCGGGCTTCTTCACCAGTGTCCCGCAAGAACGCATCCTCCAGGCCCTCACCGTCACCATGCACAAGTATTTCGCCAACTCCCAGCACGGCTTTGACACGTGGCAGGACGTCTCCATCACCTACGACCCCAAAAAGACGCTCAGGACGGCCAGAACGTTCAATGGGAAGTATAAGAAGATTAACCATGGTAGACACACCGTCTACATGCACGACATCTGGGAGATCACGCAGTACGTCCTGAAGTGCAGCTACTTCACATCCCAACGGCAAGTATACAAGCAGACCAGAGGTAGTCCAATGGGACACCCCATGTCACCAGTCCTGTGCCACATGGTCTGTTGCGTTGAAGAACATCAGTGGCACCAGACGTATCGCATAGCCCTGGCATCATGCGCAATCCTCGACCGCTTCACCAAGAGATACGTTGACGACCGCATTTGCATCTTACCACAAAGCTGGGCTCACACAAATCCTTGGAATGAGTTTCTTCAGACGGAGTTCTACGGCCCACCCATATTGTTGGAAGAACAAGAAGAAGCCAACTACCTCGGCTGCAACATCAACCTACACCACAAAGAGGTTCGCCTCATCCTCCCCTCCCAAACACACCAGCTCCTTTCGCCACGGGGATCCACACCTATGGTCCACCGAGCCAGTGCATACCGAACGAGACGCCATATGATCTCAAAGATAGCGTACCCCGAGACGGTTCGTCTACAACAACTTCGTGAACTTCGCGCCCTCTACCAAGCCCACGATCCAGACATGTTGACGTTTGTACATAGATGACTTGAAGTACCACAGCAAACAAATACCGAAGACCGCCAGCATGTGCCCATGTCGTGCAGTGATGGTCCCCAGCCCCTTTCCTCCCTAAACCCAGTGTCATGCAATGAAGTGTGATTTTGATCATGCATATCACGCGGTCATGTGCAGTTCGCCCCCACCCCTTTCCCGCACCTACCCAGAGCGCTTCTCATCAGTGGCTGACGTAGCGGCAGACGTAGCACAGAAGCAGAAGCCCAGCTGATAAACCAACACGTCGGTTATCCAGTTCTTGAAGATGCCGACCAACAAGATGCACGAAGAGCCGACCCTTCCGGATCCTCAGCCAGAAATCCAGGAGTACCCCAACAACCAGTCTGAGACGATGCAGCCAGTCCCCGAGCTCCCCGACGAGATCGCCAACCCGAACGATCCAATCCATCAG